TCCAAAAGTGTACTTGCATGCAAGCTAGAAAAGTTCGAAAGGGCGGCAAAATTTTAACTTACTTCCAGTTACGAACTAGAACAGACATAGACTCGAAAAAAGTATTCGAGGTAGTGGATATCAAAATTCGTTTTGAAGCGATTATGATAATTTTGTTGTTTTTTATTCATTAATTTTTTTTTTTTTTTTCTTTTCACTTTAATGTAAAATTATTTTTATTTTTGTGTTTATTATTGTTTTTGCTTTTATTTAAGAGACGATTTTTTGTTTTTCTGTTGTTTTATTATGTGTCAATGGCAAATACTACGTCACTGTACACTCTATAAGCCTAAAAAAAAAAAATAAGAAAGAAAAATAAGAGACGTGTAATAACACATAGTTTTGGTTTTAATAAATTATTTTATTCTTGTTCATATATAATGAAAGAAAGAAGGCCTTGCTAAATGTTGGTTTTTTTTTTTTTTTTTTGTTAATATAATCACGGTATAGCAATTCTTTTTTCTTTAGTTTTCTTTTGTAATAATTTATAAAGATTTTGTAACTAATTTATCAAAAACTTTCAACTCTATAAGAGAAACTAACCTTTTCTTTATATTAAGGTATGAACAAACAAATATCATACAACGTATATGAAAGTATATGAGGGCAAGGATAAAGTTATTTAATGGATGAAAATAATTAATTATCGTAAAGCAATGTCTCCCGCAAATTCATTTGCATTGTTCGCATTGTTTACTTTAACTACTATAAGCGGCATCAACCAGTACTTCAATATCTTCTGAGTAAAAAAATCGTCGGCAAAACTGATATAGTTTCTCTTTCCTTTTTTTTTTATTGTTATATAGCGAAAAAAAGCGATTGCAAAAAAATTCCTGAACACGTACAAAATGTCCATGAGAATGTAACGAAGTGAGAAGATACGACATTTTCTTAAAGTAATCTGCAAATGCTTCAGTAAACTTCAACAGCTAGTGCAAAAATACAACAGAGTTGCTATTCCTGGAAACACAAAAGAACTCTAATCCTCTCTCTTAATGACGAAAGGAAAGATTCTAATGTAATCCGAAGGCATATAAAAAGAATGTATGTAAAAATGTTACTATAACTTGAAAAATATGAAAATGCCCGGGAGTAGAGAGAAAGTCTTTTGCGATAAATTTTAAAGATCCGCCACTTTAAATAAAAGTATGCCGACGTTTTTTTTAAGAGAAAAATAACTTAATTCAAGAGAAAAGGATAAAAAATATTTTATTAATATTCCCTACTGAAGAAATATCGTGTCTTTTAAGGCTGTACGCAAAAGGAATCAACTTTTAGATGTCACCGCAAAATCCAATTCTGGCTTGGGCAAATATGAAGTCAACAATTGAGTCCAAAGTCAATCAGCGAGAACAAAACCTGACGTACATGTATTGTTAAGCCCTCTTGAACCCATAATGATACCATTGTTAGCGGGTTTTTCACCTAATTGCGTCAATTGTGAGCTTTCTCTGGTTATGAGTTTTTGTTTAAAGCAACTCATAGTGTACTACAAGTATGTACAAGTGACATTTCCACGTTGGATGTCAAAGGTTCAGCAAGCCGGCATTATGCTTATTTCCGCTTTGTATAATATACCATAACAAAGCCATTTCCCGTCATTGCAGTACTACTCTTAAAATTAAGCAGCCCAAGTAAGGCTTGCCTTCTTTATTTCTCGAACAAAATTTAAAAGTTTCCAAAACTCCGTACTTCAGCGGAGAAACTACAGAATTTTGAATTATGTGAGAATATGGATTTAAATACTGAGAGAGAAAGAGAGGGTGGGAGCTTATCCTAGTATATAAAAAGAGGGACTGTCAAATTAGCCTAAACCCACTGTTGTATATCGTGCTTTAATTACGATTGACGAGACACCGCAATTATAATGCTTATGCCTCCCAGGCTGCGACCTCCCTCTTTTCCCCACTTCTTGTTCAACGTGTTCACTCGCGGATAAGAAATATCCTCTGAGTGACTGCTTATAAAAAAATAGATTGGACGTTATAGGACACAATACACAAATATTTTCCTTTCGTATTATTAAACCTGGTTCGTTAATTTTCTCTCTTTAAAGAAGTCTACTTGATCTACACTTGTCGAGAATATAGATTATATATAAATATATTCTATTCCAACAAGCTGAAGCCTTGATTTACCCTTTCTCATCGATCGTGACACGAAACTGGTTATTTGAAAGCTAAAGTTAGGCGAAAGATACACGTACCGGATTACATATTGATAGGCTCTGCACTTGGATTTTTGAAAAATTGAATATCCTTAACATGCCTATATACATCTTTACGCTTGATTACGATAGGAAATTTTTAAATCTATCTATCCCATCTGTTTCTCTTCTTTTTTTATTCTTTTTTCTTCTTAGATGACTTCAAAGACTGCTCTGCTCTCTGGCAACGAAATAATTCAGACATAAAGCATATGTGTCTACAATATTTAAAACAAGTATCACTTGCGTCGTATATGTAAAAATATCATATCGTATATGTAATTATTTATATTAACGAAACGTTTAACTGCAAAAAAAAGCGCAGAGTCTAGCCGCAAATACGCTAGCAATAGACAAAAACCTGTTGCTTACAAACTGTAACAACTATTTACCTAAAATTGAATGATAAAGATGCAGACATTTTCCAGAACCATCTACAAGTTTAATACGAAAAGGCTTTTAATTAATCAACACAATGCCCATCAGGTAAACAAATACTTTACAGTTGGTATGCAATGAGCTCGGGCTCGTTTCACCGATCGTGTAAAGCTTTCTTTTCCCTTTTTTTCTATATTACTCGGATGACGTTCTTTAAAATACGACAATTGTGTTAACGCACCACCACCACTATGGTGCAGACTCAAGCTCTGTCCGATATATGTGCGGCTTCTAGTGGCGTAGAAATATAAGAACTTTTTAAACATCACTCTGAACTCAATGGATAAAGTTATTTTTCCCTTCTCCCTCCTTGTTAAACTTATTTCTAACGCTACTGTATGCATTAATAGAATATTAACCTGCGCCATTAGTGCTTATTTGGACGCTATGCTTTATTCAAATGTACAGTTAGAATATTCTTTTCAATTCTCATCCTTCTGAATGCCATTGACACATGGGTATTACTAAGACGACAGATCGATTCGAATTGATTCTTATGCATCATTGTTATTACTATCATAATGCATTTAGATAAAAGAAGTAAATTCTAAGACTAAGAAAGTGGAATAAGCCCTAGGAAGCAACACTGCTGGCCTTTCTTTTTTTTTTGAAAGCTAGACTGGATAGTTAGTTTAGTTGCTTTAATAAAATTAAAACTCTTATCGATATTACGTTCTCCAAATACTTTCAAGATGTCCTTAGGGATAGACGCTTCAAAAATTAGATCTTGGAAAATTTTCGGCTTTCACAAAGTACATGTTTACTGAATGAAAGCTTTTCAATACAAAATGGCAGCGACTCAAAACCGATTTAAATTCGCTAATATGATGGAGTATGGTACGTTTTCGATGGCTAAACACCCAACTTAAATGTCAAAAGTAACGGAGAGAAAATTTCTGGCATCTCGAAAAAAAAAAAAAAAAAAAAAACAACAAACGCAAATACAACAACCCTACAAATATATTAAAATCCATTTAGCTAAATGGAAACATATACGTAAGTAAAGAAAAGAAGAAAAAAAAAAAAAAAGACAAGAAAAGAAAAGAAAAGAAAAAGTTAAACATCAAAACAAATCATGGCATTTCAAATAAAAGATTCAATTAGTTGACAATTTTTCAAAAAAATAAAAATACAGAAGAAGAAATTCATCCAAAAATTGCATAGAAATAACGCTAACATAAGATATTTCATTTTTTCTTATTTACATTACATTTGCTATAATATGTAAACACGTGGTGCTAATGCTTTACATTCAACCTATAGTACGTATATACATACGTAAATATCCATGTCAATCGATTTACTTAAAACAATAATAATTTTTTTTTTTTTTTTTCATTTTTATTTATATTATTTTCATTTTTTCCTTAGCATATAATTTTGATCGAACTCGCATCATGACCGCATATATACATACATAAGCATGAATGTTTGCATGAATATGTTTAAACGAAAAGAAGCAATGTTCCAGATTTGTCATGTCATTAGCGAAAAAAAAAAAAAAAAAAATAGATTAAAAATTTTTAATGTATTTTATATGTATGTTAAATATTTCTTTCTTGTTCATCTTAATGCACATACACATATGTAAAACTTTGTTTATCGCTTGTACGGCTCGTAGTTGCACTTTTACATTAATATGAACGTATATGCGTTTACAGGCAAAATGTTATAGTAATATAAGCTTTAGTTTAGTAAATCTTGAAGATCTTGAACATATGGTAAATGGGTCCTTAAAATTTTCTTTATGATGAATGTAACATAACCTTGATCATCTTAAGAAGACATTTATTAAAGATTTCCCTAAAGTTTTAACTATCGTGAATGTCATATCACAACAGTGTGTAAAACTGAAGAGGATATCAAAATGGCAGCTTCCTCCCATCTGAAGACTTACAACTTTGAAAATCTCAACCATACAGACACATAAGGGACTTTGTTTCTGTTATTTTTTTTTGCATTTCTCAATACAATAAATGGGCGGTAATCCGAATGTATGCGTCTAGATGGATATCAATAGAATCGCGTCACATTTTCACTGTTACCCTTTGCAATTCTAAATATTTCAACTGAGCAAAACAAAAATATATGATATTTCGATTGTCTGGCATAATGACAATGTAGAATTTTTTAAAAAAAATATACAAAATAACACCATTTGTACCAAAAAAAAAAAATAAATAAAAAAAAAATATGCTTTGGCGTTTTAAAATATATTGAACATGACTGAATTAAATTTAAATGCAAATGTTTATTATTAATAGTATAATAGTAAGATATTGTTTTTATTATTTTTTTTATATATAAAGTTACATACGTTTTATAGATTTTCGCTCAGCGATAGGAGTATCAGAATCTAGAGGAAAAATAAACAAATAAAAGAAAAACAATTATATTAAGTAAAAACTCTTTTTATCTAACTCCTTCAATCTAAGAAGAAATTCTCTTTCATATTTTAAAAAATAAATAAATGCTTTGAAGCATTTGTTTGGATAAAATTTTCATTTAATTGAATTCGAAAGCATTAATAAGTGTACGACCTTTTAGAATAGCCTGTCACTTCATTTTCTCTTAAATAATATCACTGTAGTCGCTGATTTCAGTTATGAAATGCCATAAAGATGTTAAGTATAAAGTCTTTCAAGGAATTCCATAGATCGTAATATTGGGAATATAGATTAGATAGATTAATACTGTAAAGTGTACAGGAAAACTATGACTTCTTGAAAGTACTCCCTTTAAGGTACACGCAACTGAATAAATTATCACACTAATGCGTACACGATATAGATTCTTGGAGCTTTGAATAGAGCATAGATTTATACTAAAAAAATGAAAGTTTCGAGAAATTTTTTTACTTTTCCCGATTAACTGAAAGGATAATGCACTGGATGGATGCACTACCGTATCCAAAGCCCAAATACCCATGATAGCGAACATGCGAACCCATATCATCTTTGAATACTCTTGGTGTCCTCCTTTGAGAGGTTTAGTTGGGCGAGAGATATTTGAATAAGAGATACTACGTCCAATAGTTGATGCAATTGCGAAAAACACTAGACGTAATATACCAATTGTCACGATATATCATTTTTAATATGAAGGACTTCGAACCCCTGCAGGAATTATTTGCCATTCTAACCTGAAATGCCTTGCCCTCCCCGCTGGCATCAGTTGACCTTGTTTCTTCCGATTAACACATGTTTCAATAAATCATTTATTGTTTGCTTAAACGGTGCTTCGATCCTTATGGCGACGCCTAAATGTAGATTCTTTTTGGGATAACCTTGAAAGACGGGCAAGTTTCAAAATGGAAGATAGAAAAAAATTCGAACTAACGATGGACAATATATTGAATAAAACACATTACACTCATTTCGCTGAGTAAAGCTGCAAAGTTACAAAAAGAAACCTCAAAACGCAAGAGAAAGGTACGAGGAATCCATTATGAGAACATATTCCGGTGACTGCAACCTTTTAATTACAGTGCAATAAGAGAGAAATTACATTCATCTTAGAAAGAGTTCTTTAATGCCCATTCAAAGAACGACAATTTTCGTCACACACACACGAGTTACAGCAGTAATATCCTAAATTTTTTTGATGACCATACGATATAGCGGAGTATAATCTCTGATATTTATTCGGTTTTGCAGCACCATATAGAACTGACATTGAAATGCTAGCTAATCTCTCACCCGATTTTCGAACCCGATTTTTGAAGTGGTGCAACCCCTATAATAACCATTAAAAATTGAGTTTTTTTACAATTTGTCCTTTTTTGAGGTAAAAAGAAACATAATTGAATTATAATATTTGGCGGACTTATTAGGCGTATACTTAACTATTAATAAAAAAAATTGTTAGTGAAAAATATTAAAAAACGGCGATATCAGAGCCATTTTCATGAGGCACCATTCATTTAAGGGATTCTGCGACAGGCCATGCAACCGGTCTAAAATTTGCCTTGGAAATGCGAAAAAAACACGTTTAATCTGCATGCTTGTAGCTAGTGAAACACGCAGGATTTTTTAAAAATATTGATTTTTATGAGATCGCAACGAAAAGGTTTCATATTTAACCAAGAAATGCACGCTCTTTGATGAATAAAAAATCGTTACTCTAATTTTTTCAAGCTTATCCTGCGAGTCTCACTATTGCGTGTATATTAACTTTCAACTTTGAGTGTTACCGCGGACAGAAAGACGGACATGCCTTAAGAAAATTAAAATTTGTTGCTGATAAAAAAAAAATGTTTATAGCTTTTATAGAATTTTTAATCATTCCTTCTGCGCCTTTCAAACGGTTTGATAAAATAAATATACGGACCAACCTTTCGATACAATTATTAGTTAATTATGAAATACCAACTGACATCTCCACATTAAATAATTTTTAATTGAAACAAATCAGATTGGGAAGAAATTTAGAATAATACAACAAATGAAAAGACAACCGATGGCCTTGGCCCAACAAAAGGTTCCCTTGTACCGTGCAGTTAATCATATTCAAAATAAGACGTTATATGGGAAGTGGGCGAAAGTACAATCTGAATCTTTTTTAAAGGCGTTTATTCTTGGGTCAAAACATGTTAATGTAACAAATTTTATCAAAATATCTCAAAGTTTACGACCTGTAGGGCAGGCGCACAAGAAAACAAAAAAGACAAAGGATAGACAGACAGACGGTCTTAAAATGGATTCAGAAAATGATTCTGAATCGATCGCCATAATAAAAGGTGGACCTATCTCAAGTCCTTCTAAGTGTTGCATACAACCGCACATATTTGGTTTACTCTTGTACCACAAGCGTCTTAGTATTTTTTGAAAGTCGTGATTAATAAATAACGTGAAATTGAATGCCACTAGTAATCCATCAAGAGGATCTATAGACAGGCAAATATATATCCTCTAAATTTCACATCTCCACCTGTAATTTTGTTGCAATGAAGAATTATGCCAGCAATGCCGGGCATTCGACCACGCTATTGCTGCTCTGGTCCTCCCAATAAAACGCAGACTTGTGATAAATTTCAGTCCTTCATAAGAGACTATTTCCAATACTCTCGATGGCTTTTCCATCGAGCCGTCCCGTTGCCAGAAACGTAATCTAACAGCCAAACCAGTTCCAATTTCCATATATAACAAACAGCGTACATGTATTATGTTCACTTAAGATTGCTTGCAGAAATATTTACTTAATGCAAAACATGTTAGCAAAATCTATTCATATATAAGAGCAAGAGTGTAAGGACCAAGTATAAACAAAAGATATAAGCAAACATTGACGTCATCGATGCTTCGCAGGATAACAAATGAATGAATACATGTCACTTAACCCCGACAATGACGCAATTGAATGAAAGTATAAAAAAGTTAGTGTGGAAATAACAAAAAGGATCAATACACCGACAAGTGATTGACATGTTGTTAAAATCGTGACACCTTCTAATATAAAAAAAAAAAACTCTTTTTTATAAGTAAATATTTGAAGCACTTACCAATTGTTCCCATTCTTAAGACGTTTTATTTTAGTTGATTATTATTTAAATAAAATTTTTTTTTTACTGAAAAACTTTTAATGTTTAATTTATTTTACTTTTAAATTTTTTCTTCACCACTTTCTTTATGTTTAGTACATTGAAATAAATTCTATTTAAAAATACGCCTTTTTGTAGAATTTTTATAATTTAATTATTATTATTATTATTATTATTATTTTTCTTTTTTCTATCTGAGCAAAATGTAAAATCTTGTTCACATATCAATTGACGTTTCGGAAGTTTTTAATATTTTTTTAAAAACTTCGTACGAGTATATCTTATAAAAATAAATATCTTGTCTAACCGCGTGTGTTATTGCTCAAGTCAAATATGCGTGCAGAATGTTTTCAAATGTAGTCAGCGAATTTCATTTATAGGCTGGATTCATATATAAAACGGAAAAAAGAAGTCGAGTAAAATATCGTTCAGTAAATTCGCCTTAAATTTTCGACAAATTTTCTCTTCTTGGCTGTGAAGCACAAGCGCTTTTCTTTCTTTCGTTTTCTCACCTACTTATCATCTCTCACTAAATTTTTCTCTTAAACAAAACATAAACATATTTTAAAAACATTGTTTACTTAGCATCTATCAGTATAACTTTGTCGTTTCATATATAACTTCACAAAATACGCAGGCATCACATATATATATATATATATGTATATATGGGATAATAATGTTCGAGGAAGTTATTAAGCATATACATACTTAGGTGCAAGATAATCGGTACAAAGTTGAGTCTGTGCATGACTGGCAACTGTATCTGTATGCTCCGTTTTGAACTGAAAAGAAACAATCTTCTTTTAATATATAACGTTGAAATTAATTAAAGGTCAAAAACCTATAGCATCGTTTCATTGTGTGTGTAAATATACCTTTTCTTTAATAAATATTAAATTCGTTTTCACTAAAAAGTTGGTTTTTTTTTTTGTTAAACATAGAACAAATTCGCAGGACACTCCAGAGCATGTGTATGAATGTACATATATACATAAATATGTTCTCGAACATTTTTCTTAAAATTTTAGTTAAATTTCCACATATCCTTTGGATTGTCCTTTCGATCTGTCCTCTACTGTTGAACAAAAATTGCAATGCATTTGGTTTGTGTTGGCATCGAAAGTTTTCCATGGCGTTTCATCAACAGTGTACATTTACATTCCAGACAAAAAATATTCAGGTTTATTGTTGACAGCTAAAGTCAAACATTTATCCCGTCTTTCTCTCAAAATAGACTTAATCTTTCGTACTTTCTTCGTAAGCTGATACCTCCTTCCTTTTGTTACATGCTCTTAACTGACTTGAAACGAAATAATCGAACCATAGTAAGTATTATAAATGGACGTCTTTTCGATTTTGTCGATAGTTAACATCTGCTAAAGAATGCTCTCTTCAAATTCTCCTTTCCTGATTATCTTAAATTCGGGCTGCTTATCTATCTCTACAAAATCATGCGATTTCGAATGCCAAGCCTTTTAATCGAAAGTCTGCAGTTCTCTAGATCGAATAGAAACCTTTTCGTAATAATACCACGTTCATCTAAATCATCCGGCGAAAGGTCGTTTATTGCTCGTGTTGCTAGATTTTAGAATACATTATCCCTGAATCTAAAATCCTTCGATGACCCTTTGAATACGTTTCGAAAACACTGACTATGCATCTAAACTTGTAAAGTGTATTTCGTTGCTGGTAAAAATTTATGATTACGGAATTCTTACAGCAAGATGAATACGTTATTAGCCATCTAACCGAATTGCATAGTCACTTATGTTGTAGCTTCTTTATGAATACGAATTTTATCTATGTAGCTAGCTCACTGGCCTTTAAGGCTTTTTAATTAATAATATGGAAAAAAATGAAAAAAACTAAATGGAACATAAACCAATTGCTGGTTTTTAGCTTGCAAACTGGTACAATAATATTTGTTTGGAGCCGATAGCCTGTGTTGCTAGTACTCAATGTCTTTTTTTAGTCTAAGAATTCACATCATTAGTCTAAAATTAAAATAATAATAATATTTGTTTGTAAGATTTATTTTTCTCCGATAAATGTAAGGAATTTTGTGAATCGACAATGATTTTTGATTGTAAGAAAGAAAAACCATATAAGTTAATTTTGTTCCTTAACAAGTGTCATAGGTGCTCTCAGAGTGTAGTTCAGAATAATCGGCTTTTGCTGTTGACCACTTCTAACAATAATCGATCAATCAAAATGAATTAATTGATGATTCAAATCAAAACGAAATCAAAATCTTAAGCAGATTCGTGCTCATAAATATCTTAATGTTCTCTTAAACAAAAATTATTGAAATTTTCTAAGGGATAATTGAAATGAAAAAATTTTACACTCATAAAAAATTTAACAAAAAAAGTACTAAAAAGAATAGTCCATTAGTTTAACAACCGTGGCATGAAACTACTTCCGTGTCTCTTTTTAAAATTAATTCTCTTATTAGGAGAGACACTTTGCTTTTGAATTCTCATATAATGTAATGCGTACGAAAGCAAATTAATGCAAAAAAAAGAAATATAAAAAAATACTCATACGCCGCGTATACCTGTATATGCAAAAAGAAAATTATTTTGCACCGCAAAGTTTACTTACTAACCATTGTTTATAAAAAAAAATTCTTTTGAAGGTTATTCAAATTTATAAAAGTTTTCTTAAAGAAATCATTTGATTTATTTATTTACACGTTATTGCCGTACATGGAAAAAAATTCTTTAAACTTATCTATTCATTAATTAAACTTGATTGTTGACTTATAATATATATAGCAAAGTCTTAATCTAATGCGATATTCTTTTTAAATTGTAATTTAAATTTATTTCCTATAATTTATTTTAAGAAGATATAATAAAAGCATGCATACAATTTAGTTCGATGAGTATATGCTATAATTATATTGTTCTTGTATGTATGCTCAGTGTATTCTCTCCTTTTACTTTCTATAACAAATAGTTTTCTTAACATTTTTAAACTCGTTTATTACCAAACTGTTGCCAAAAGTTGGTAATCACATATTCTATTATTACTACTATATATGTATATATATATATAAAAAAAAGAGTTTATGTGCATGTAAATCCTTGATAGTTTATGCTTATTCACCTTATTATTAGGTTATGTTAAATTAAAAAGCAGAGGCAAAGCGAAATAAATTGAATTAGTTATCAACAGAACGTTTGCCAGTTCGTTACGGCAGAAAAGGAGCGAATTTTTGAAATAGTCACGAAAAAAATACTTTGAATGCTAGTAAATTGAAAGTAAAAGTTTCTCGAAATGGAAACTAAAAAAAGGGAACAAAAATATGTAAAAAATGAAAATTTGCAAAGCAATTCTTTGCAAAAACCACTGGAAGCTTCAAATAATGACGCTATCAATTTAAATAAAACCATTGCAACTTCCAATACGTCGGATAAAAGCGATTGCAAAAATAATCATAAGAAAATTCAATGCATTCAAACGGTCATGACCAGCGAGCAATTAAACGAACTGAGACGACATGCTCAAGATGCGACCAAACAAAATAAAATCTTTAGTGTACGTGGATGCTTTCAGTCTATACGTAACGCATTGAAAATTCGAGGCTGGGTGGAAAAAATAGAACACCATCAACGCAAACAGGTCATCACATCCAACCATCACGGTCAAGTTTCCATTATGGATTTATCGCTAGCTTTACCGAAACGTAAAACAGGCGAGACACGACGTCAATTTCTTGTTAAATGTGAACGCAACATTATGTCGCGTTTTGTCGAACACTTGCCAGTCGATTTCCTTTGGACAGATCGCAAAGATAAAGTGGACTACGCTGAACAGTCTCGCAATCCTCAAATGCTAATCAATAAATTTACACGTACACCGTTTACCAATAAAGAAGGTTTAAACGGCTTATTACGCGATCTAAATTGGTTCTTTGTAGACGATATTGCTGAGGTTAATTTTCCCCGTTGTTTTAATGTGTGGAATTTAGAAGAGCTTAACGAATTTATTGAACATTTCAAATTAACTGCATGCGTTTCTTTTCTGCGTTGGCTAGTTGATAAATATCGCGAGAATGGTTACGGACGCATTTTTTCTGATGAGGGCAAAATACCTTTTAACGCAATTGAGTTCGCTTTGAAGCGTTGCCACGAATACTGTGAGTCCGCCTTACATGACGACATCGATACCGAAGATCCGCCGCGTATATGGGAACATGATTGGGATACTTTCCTCGCACAACATTATCAATTAACTCATGAAAATTGTAAAATTCAAGCGGAAACTCAACGAGCTCCAATTGAAACAATTGTACGAACTATATCTCAAGTGTTAGATGCATTGCGTGATCATTGGCCTCAATATACAATAGACGGTTATCAGAATTTATGGATAGTTAAGCCAGCCAATAAATGTCGAGGTCGTGGCATACATTTAGGTAACAATTTAAAGAAGATTCTAAATATTGTTAATCCATCAGTGGCCACCAAAAGTCGCTATGTAATACAAAAATACATAGGTATGTGAGTACACACTTTTACAAACCATCAGATATCTATCTGCACGTAAATAAAATTGCTTCTACGTACAAATAAATTGCCGCTTAAGCTCTAGACAAAAAGTTTTTAAAGTAAAAATAGCACAAACCAAATGCAAGACCTAGATTTAAGTGATTGTACAATAATATAAATATACATGAATACACACTCAATTTTTACGTGATAATCACATGCAATTTTTTTTTTTATTATTTATCTTCAATAAGAAATCATTCAACAGGTCTTTATTTATATTTATTTGAAATTTTTTTCTCTTTCCTTTGTTTACTGGTTTTTGCTATAGAACGCCCTTTGATTATACATCAAACTAAATTCGATATTCGACAATGGTTTCTAATTTCGAATATTCATCCGCTGGTTGTGTGGATGTATAAAGAATGTTATTTACGTTTCAGTTCGCAGGAATACAGTTTAGTCAATCATCACGAATCGGTGCATTTAACTAACTATGCTATACAAAAGAAATATACAAATCATAATAAACGTGATAAGCGTTTGCCATGCGAAAATATGTGGGATTCATATTCCTTTCAAGCGTACCTGAGACAAATTGGCAAACAGAATTTGTGGGAGGAACGTATATATCCTAGCATGCGAAAGGCCATCGTGGCAACGATACTTGTAGCGCAGGATCACATGGAACGCACCCCTAACACGTTTGAATTGTTTGGCGCCGATTTTATGATATGTGAGAATTTCTATCCGTGGCTGATAGAAATCAATTCGAGTCCCGATTTGGCTCCTACAACGAGTGTAACGGCTCGTATGTGTCCACAGTGTTTGGAGGATGTTATAAAAGGTTTTTTGAAATCTTTTGTTTCATTTTTCTCTTCTTGAAATTTTAGTAATTGTAATTTTAGTAATTGTAGACCGCCGAGTTGATCCCAAGGCCGACGTTGGAAATTTTGAGTTGATATATCGTCAAATCGTACCACCAACACCAGCTTATATGGGTCTTAATTTATGCGTTAAAGGAAAACAATTAACCGGTCGCACAATTCATTCTCATCATTATGGTCTGCAACGCAAGGAGAGATCGCTGCATACCAGCAATTTGTATCGTCAACGAACCAGTCTTGCATTGTCATCGATATCGCATTTACATAAACCAATGCCGGCATTTAATGCTACCGATTACATAGAACACTGTTTGGTACAAACCAATAATACATCGCGTAGCTCCAGCATACCAAATTTACTAAACAACAATACCGATCAAACAAGTATTTATGACGTTTCACCACACAATACGATGAAGCGTGAAAAAACGTATAATATAACAGTGACTTGCAGCAATGCTATGTTAAACAAATCCAGCCATGCAAAGCTCAAAGCTCAGTTAAACTCTACATTAAAGCGACATCGAAGCTGCGGTCCAAGATTAACGACGACCTTGACTAATGCCACACAATCGCACAAAATTAAATTTTCCGTTAGCAACGTGAATCGACGCAAAACGATAGATATTAAGAATAGTAAAGTTTCGAATCATTTGAACGGTTCAACATTGGACGCTCCCATATTAATGATTAGTCGAAGTGCCGATAACATCAAGGAACTTTGCAGTCCTAATAAGACACTCGCAAAACTGTCGCCATCTAAAAGTCTTAGTCCGGTAAGAAGCCGACGTAATTCACCCATAAAATCTGCAAAAGCAAAAGATAAAACTCGACAGAGCTCCAAAAACTTCAAGTCGCTAGCATCTAATGAGAAAGAAAAAATCCACAATTCTGATATCCATGCCGTGGGCAAAAGTATAATCAGTTGGAATTCTAAGAGAAACCATTCACTCAATAAAACTCCACCGCCTCCAACTCTTCACATTAGCCCACGTTATCTAACGGCAAACTATATGTCAATTGCCACTCACTCGAATTAATGTGATATCGTTTCTCAATTCAATAAAGCAGCAGATAGAGAAGAGAAAGAAACAGAACGTGCAAGAAATATATTGATAGCTTCTTTAAATACAAATATATTTTGCTAATACAATGCAGAAGAAATAGTATCTAGAAATGTATAAATGCGAAATAAAGAAAATATTGTTTTCAGTGTATTTTAACTTGTTTTAGGCTAACATGAAGAACGAACGATTGATGTGGATGACGCATTTGTCGATCTGTGTTCTTGGGAAAAAAATGCTATCAATATGAAAATTTAAAGTACGCATTCATTCCCGTTATGTTTTAATCATTTTGGCATAGTGTAGCGAATCGCTAACGCCTCCCTTGTGGCAGCTTGTAAAACTTTAGGTACCTGACTTCTTTTCACAGAAGAAGATCGGGGCGAGAAGGACGGACTTGCCTAAAATATAAAAAAAAAAAAAAAACAATTGTACAATTATTGTGAGCGTTTTCATCAATTCATCAATTAATTGCCCTTCAATTACCTTCTGATGGACCTTCATGCGCATCTGTGATTTTCGTTTTGCTATATCGTTATTTTCGGATTTCTTTACGTTCTTCTTATAGAATCTTTGACGCATGCTCGTGGGAGATCTTTTACATAATTCCATCGATTTACCTTTTATATCCAGAGCTTCTCTCTGATTGGGATCTTGTCGAAATTTATAATTAATTTCATAAATCTTTTCAAAAAATCCTGTTGAGGCGCGATTATTACGTGGCAAGTCTATAACCACCTTTATGACATCTATCATTACCATCGGGCAAATACGTGCAGTTACCTCTGTAGAAGGCGATAAATCCGGCGTGGAATTAATTTCAATTAATATAGGATTGTATTGTTCATCCAACATAAAATCGCAGCCATACAGTTCGAAACAATTCTCGCACAAATTCGTTTCATCTAAGCTGGCCAAAACTACAGCAATTAGATTTTGCTTGAAGCCAGCATATACTTGATTCTCCCAAATATTATCAGGCAAACTTTTCTGATCAATATAGGCCTTAAATTGTTCTAAGGACCACATATTGCTTCTCGGTAGGCGGGGATCGCGTGTAGTCTTATTTTTATATTTCTTCTGTACTGAATTATTGGTTAAATGGATAACTTCGCGCAAATCGTCTATCGTATATTCTTGGGAACTGAAACGCAAATAGCAATCCTTATATAGCCATATCTGTACGGTCGACTCTCGTATATAAAGCAACATATACTGTCGTATATCGAATTTTGTACGATAAATCAAAAGTGGTTGCTCTAAAAGGGTAAAGGATAATATATATATATATATATATATATATATGTAAAACTAAACTTTTCCGCTATGCTTACCGATATACTTTTGTACAATGTAACGACGACTCATATGATTGGTGGCCCAATTAAGAATTTCATCCATATTATTACGTATGACAATATTAAGGCCACGGCATTGATAACCGGGCTTAAGAATCCACATATTTCGACATCCGTCAAACTTATAATCAGGCCGTTTCTCATCCAATCTGGTAATAATCGGTTTGATTTTCTTCACATATTCATTTAGTTCGCGGTAAGTGCATTTAAGCTTGCCACGACGATTCAATAAACGACCCGAGCTCTGCAGAAATTCGGCCCAATCGTATTCTGGTACGGAAACCGGTTCGACATCTAACGATATCTTATTCTCAATTTCTTCAAGTTGCCTTTTGGCGCGTTCCGCGGCGAATGGAATAATTACGGGCGAGATGGTGCCATTTTCATAATCAATAATTTCCTCGTTATCGACATTTCTACAAAGAAAACGCAAAAGAGCACGACATTGAGACATGCGAAATTCCTCAACGAAGGCTGCTTGCTCTTCATGGTTGCCGCCCAAACGAAAGAAACGCGGATATAACATATTGGAAACGCCGTCTTGGCGGTGCCATTGCAGTTGTTCGCTACAACCGATTAAACCAACCTTCGTGGAAAAATCCATTCCGTGACTTCTACGTATGCGATTGCGATATGGTCGCACATCAACATAGAGGTCACGATGTCCTTTAGGTTGCCAAATGAAAAATGCAGGAAAATGATTTATTATCTTACTAATGGCGACTGTTTCATATTCATTGCCGCGCTTAGCATGCATTAACAAAGCATCTTCGCTAAGCATCTGTAACCGTGGATATCGGTTAGGTGCTAATTTCTCCAACCAGCCTCTCTTAATTAGTGCTCTACGTATTGTACCGTAATTACCAAAAATAGTAAAAATTCGACGATTACGAAATGCATCGATTACCCTGGCGCGATAAACGCTGGATAGGGTCTTATTTTGTACGCTATTAGCGTCTACAAGTTGTGAGATCATATTATTGGGACTCGTAATTACATGCCCTTCTCCCTCTTTAAGGACATCTTGTTTCGATATCTTAACTTTGACCAAATGTACACGATTCCATATATTACTGCGTCTAAGAGGATCTCCAAGTTTAAGAGTTGACGAAATTGTGCCGAGACCGCTAGATTTGGTGAAATTACTTTTTTGTTTTATCATCACAGGCAACACGGGTTTGATGCTTTCATTTAAAATTTGCGGTGCAACTTTAGCTACAACTTCGCTCTGACTAATAATTGGTTTTCGATATTGACTCGGGATGCTTACGACACTTAAATTATCAGTAAATTGTCGCTGCTGTTTGGATTCCAAATACTGAGCAACATTTAGTTTCCCAATCGGAGATTGTTCGTTAGCCTGATTTTGGGATGAACCTTTATTCGAACTTCGAGTTAGGATTTGGGCTTTACTTTGAATTGGTATAACTTCCCGTTCAAGATTCTGATTACGACCAGGAAGTAGATTAGGATTTTCGCTACGAATTTGAGATTTACTACTAATATGCGGATTTTCATCAATAGGTCTGGGACTGGAATTTTTATTTTGGCTTGACGAATTATTAACACTTGGATTACTTTGACTAGCACCTTCATTGCTACGGCTTTGCGAACAGTTTATCGCGCTCTTATCACTCGAAGAGTTTTTAAGGCTTGCATTAGAACGCACAACTCGATTCTGACGTGGCGATCGTTTGGCATCCTCATTCCAAGTACCTATATTGCCAAGACTGCACGTTTTACTTAAACTTTCACAAAGACATTTGGTTGGCGTTTCAGAAGGTGCTTTATTTTCACCACCTTTCTTTCGTGGCAGAATGTATTTGTTACCATCGTTAGGGGACGTTTGGTGACACAACTTTAACAATTCCAAATCTAAGTTCTTGATTAGAGATCGTATCTTTATGAGTGGATATTGTCCGGATTTGTTGTTGGTAACTGACTTTGCGGATTTTTCCATTATATTAACTTAAAATTTTGAAACAGAAGCCAAAATATTTTTTAATTTTGTCCTTTAAATGAAATTTTACTTAAATTTCGAAAATTCGACCCTTAAAAATTGAAAGCCGTTCGAGACGTTCCTGTATGAAGTATTTTTGAAAGCAGAACAATATACATACATAATAAAGAAAAGTCAAACAAATGCCCCCCAGACAGTGGAGTAAAGTGAAATTTAAAAACGAATAAACAAATAAGATTAAAGTAGAAAACTTCAAGTCTGGTTTTGTAAGCAACTATTGCTCTATCTTTAAGCGGCAAACTCAAGACATTTTGTGAGATGTGATTATCGTAGAAGAACATAGCTTATAATAAAACCATTTACTTCTGGAAATGATATAAGTAAATTTGGCAGAATAATCTGAATTGCCGCATTTTTATGTACATATAGAGGTTATTCATTCGATCGATTTTTTTTGTAGAATTTCTCTAAGCCGTAAGGACTAAGATGAAAAAATGAAATTGTTTTCGATCTGTAAAGAAGGGAAAAATAAACACTAACTGCCAGCTTCTCAGTGTAGATTAAAAACTAAAGCAACCCCAAGCAAGTAAAAAGACTATATTCGGCTATTGCCGAATTTTTTATACTCACCACCCGCATCTCAAACAACTAAATACTATATTTTATAATATTGCATATACTTGATCGAATTTTCCCATTTTTGTGGAATATTTGTGGACACTTTTATCGTATAGCTTTTCTGGTTTATGTTTACTGGGCAAATAAAACTCAGAAAGCCGGAACATTGTTAATTTATTTTACGCTACGGACGACTGGCATTTACCGGTTTTTTCCCCATTTTCAATATCAACCTGCGTGCAACAATTTCCATTGTTCTCGCCAAATATGAAGAAAAATATTTTCACTTTTGGGAGGAGGTGAAGATTTACGCTTCAATTTACAGACGGGGTAATAGATGAATTGACAAATATGTTTAGAACCGACTTTGATACTGATCGATAATATATAGACTTTATAAGTTCACTGAAGTTTCTTTTTGATTGCTGTAATCTATAATATTGAGGTGTGAGGCGTGGCCGTTTTCTTCCAATTTTTGCATTTACGTGCGCCGCAGGACTACCAACAGATTATAGGGGCACATTTTTATGGCTTTATCAGTTATAATTTATAGCTATCGAGGTTAAAAACCAATTTTCTTTCTTATTGGGCCATTCCGTTCACTTACAGAATTCTCACCGTACGCTTCACCAATTTTCCGGCATGTTTTAGCCTTTTTATAATAAAAAAGCATCACATAGCATATTTCTTTAAATATTTCATCAATCAATATAACTTTTTACACTAACAAACAATCAGATAACTTTCTTCACAAAAAATGTAATTTAAAATATCATCTTCACTCAAATGAGTGTTGTCCGATATATAGGCATTAATATCATCCCGCGAAAAAAAACCGCAAAAACTTTTTACATAACCTAATATAATTCCCAAAATACCCAAATGACAATTGGCAAATGTTAAGGCAAGATGAGGAAACTCATAAATGTTATTGTGTCGCAACGAGAGCAATAGAACAACGTAAATATGATGGTTACATAAACAAGAAAGCAAGTATATGAACTAACAAGAGCCATTAATTTAAGGAACAAAAATACCTTAACTGTTAAATGGAATCTTCAGTATCTGAAAGCCCTTCAATTTTCTCATCTTATTGGATTCACTTAGGAGGACAACTTATGTGATTATTCACCCTGACAGCATTGAAAGGAACATTAATTAAGATTTTTAACATATGGAATATCGAGGCCACAATGAACAATTTTGGGTTGGAATGACCCAAAAATCAGAACAAGTGATAATATTTAAAATCCCTCAATAAAATAACCTCCATATGAACATTGGTTGGATTACTTCTGATTAATTTACTTGGCCTTGAAAGTAGAAAATCTTTCCTTAGAATTGTCCTTTTGATGCGACTTTTTCAAGCGTCGGCGTACGTCAACGTAAGTCAACAATATTAAATGGAAAACTGTTAATTTATGTAGAGGAAGGTCAGAACCATCGAATCCAACCACTACGTATATCCTGGTATTTCCCATCTCTTTATTGTGTAATTCTTGGAAACACTTAATATGCATCACTATTTATTCAAATGAATAAATATTTGATTTCCACAATACTTTAACTAGTAATTCAATATTTCCCTTCCCAGAAATTTCTTGTTGATTTCATATTCCGTTACCCATTTTCATATTGGAAACTGTAAATCGAGGAAACTGTAAATCGAGGCCTGCTACTTCCAGCGGCAGTTAAATTACAAGATGGTCGAACATTATTTTCAAAATCCAAACTAGAAAGCTTATTACGGACTTTCGTTTTTCTGTTATCAAGAACAGTAGCAACGCTATTTATTAACAGCCACTTAACACTAAACACTGCAGAATTCTACAATTGAAAGAAAATATTGTTATTATTATTATTATTATTATTATTATTATTATTATAAGTTTAGCCAGAGAATAAATTCTAAGACTAAAGTCTTAAAGCGCTAGCATCTAAGGCTTTCGGCTTTATTAAAAACTCTACCCCAGTTGAGATTTGAACCCACGACCATTGAGTTGCCAGTCGAGATTCTTCACCTTCGGCCACTTAGGCGGATGAAAGAAAAATATTCATATCAAGAAATGTGAAGAAATAATTTATCTCTATCTATTTTACTTATTGTATATATATTTACTAAGTTCACATATATTTAACATATTTCTGAAATTTTTTACAAACGGCTTATTATATTCTAGAATATTCTTTAGAATATTTTGTAATAGTCTAAAGTATTCTGAAAAACTTTCATATTTCTTCATAGCATATTTTCATTGAAATTTATTAAAGCAGTTGGTGAATATACAATTTGGAGGAGCAATCACGTCTGAAAATGTTTACCAAAAACAACTGAAAACGAAAATGATATCTAACTTTCACTTACGTAATTACTCCTTAGAGCTCTTCTTACTAACTAAACGATCAAAGCAATATAAATCAGAGCTCTCGCAAACAAATGAATATAAAAGTGAAAACTAAATTTTTCATATTTGTTTATCCTCCATATACTCTAACTATCTACTGTAGGAGTCCTTTCGCACATACACACTGATATGTATACCATAGAGCATATTCACTTAAAACCAAACAATCATATCTGCTCATGCTTTAAAAACTTTGAAGAGAATACGACGTCATATCAAGACACTTTAAATGGAATCTTTGCCCACGAAAATAATTAGAACAAAAAAAACAAGCAATCAAATGGCGTTGTTACTGTTAAAGAACACAACAGGTGATAGGAGAAACACAGCAGCTATAATAATCACCTAACTTGAATTTTAAACACAATGTTGGATCATCTTGTCATTCAGTTGGCTCTGCTACTTCGTACTAGTAGGCTATTACAGCACTCGACGTATTTAAATTTTACTCTTCAGGCATAAGTCTTTCCGGACCTAGTGTAACTCGTCGAAATTACTGTTCTTAGCAACAGTTGAAAAGATCTTTGTAGATCTTTTTTTTTTTTTTTTGGTATGTTGAACAGAGATGGACTAAGCCAATCTTTATAGATCTTGACCATAATTAAAGGTGTCTTTAAATAATTAGAAGGATTGTAAAATTTTCGTTACCGTTATGTATGTTTTATGAACTTGTTCTAAAATATCACTTTATGCCACTTATGGTACAAGGGTATATCAAGTTTGGGCGGATTTATGCATTTTCCAGAAGGAATTGCGACACACACACTTTTTATAATACCGATTGATCCATTTTCAATAGTAGCCTGCGTGTAAGAATTTCCAATGTATATGTCAAATCTTAAGCCGATAGCCTAATTTTTTTAGCTAGGAGAATGCTTACAATAGACTTTACACAGACGGATAGACGGACACGCTTAAATCGATTTAGGATTTGATAGTAATCAAGACTATATATACTTTATGGGAACTCTGAAATTTCCGCCTGGGTGTTACAAACACCTCGGCAAAGTGAATATGTATTTCATGCTTTGGCGGTGGATATAATCATATAATCATTGACGTCACCAATAAAATGCGCATTGACGTATCATTAGTCAACTGATTATCGTTGACATAAAAATTTTATTTAGTAGCACAATAGGAGGCTTCTTTCGTTTTACATAGCAAGACATTTCGATTACTGAGATTATTGAGAACTTTTATGCAATGCAATGGCCATCCATCATACTCATCTTCACGTCTATCTAAAAGCCGTTATTTTAAGAAAACCATTATAACTCTATTTTTTTTCGTTTCCATATTTATTGTTGTAATTATCATCAATTATCGTGTTTATAAACATTTATTGTGTATGATCATATCTATTACATTATTAAGATCTCTTTGCTATATTTTTATCATCTTAAAATTCGCATCATAATGTAGTTGTTATTAAGCTTGTGGTAAATAATGCATCTTACTCGGTTGCCACCACGTCAACTAAAGTTTGCAGAAGTTACAGTATCATCTTTATAGTTAGTGGGGACTTTTATTATTGTGGCCACATATGGGTGATATAGACGGTTAAGATTTACAATTTATCGAGATATTGGGAGAGATCGGGCAGACCCTCCTTAAGACCTTTACGTTTACGTGTATCCTGGACAATTTGATATGGTTTGCTATTGGGTTCACAGGGATCGCCGGGCAATACTTGCCAATGATCGAACACACATTGTGGGAAGGCTTGACCACCGGTATTAGAACGTAAATCAGCGGTGAAACCGAAGGATTCATTAACAGGCAAATATGCTTTCACTACAAACATAGGTGTACCCACTACTTGGGATTCTTCAAAGACATGGCCACGGCGTCTATTTAATACACCATAGATACCACCGACAGCAACTTCGGGACACTGAATTTCGCACAAGTATACAGGTTCCATAAGACGTGGCGAGGCGGTTATAGCCGAAGCGTAGAGACAACGGCGAGTGGTTGGAATGATTTGACCGCCTCCACGATGGATGGCATCAGCATGCAAAGTTACATCGTAAATATTGAAACGAACACCGCGCATATTCTCCTCAGCCATTATACCCTCTTTTGTAGCCCACTGAAAGCCAGCTACAACAGAGTCCTTAATTTCATTTAAATACTGCACTGACTTTGTGCAATCTAAGATAAAATTTGGCCCAGTACCGTCGGGGCCAAAACACCAGATCTTACGGGCTTCGGTCACATCATAATCGTATTTCTCCGCCAAATAGCGAGCGCGTGCTTTAAAATCATCCTTGGAACTTACATCGCCATTATCAATGTCCTCAGGCAAACCATCGGGCATTGGCATAGCTTTCATGACTAAACGATTGTGCTTGTTGGGCGACTTAGACAGGCACTGTTGGTTGGACTCTTCGAATACGGTTTCACGATATGATACAACGGGATCTGATTTCTTAAGGGGAATGCAAGCATGATCTTCTTCCAAATCTTTTAAGCAAATTTCCAGATGTAATTCACCGGCGCCTGCAATAATGTGTTCACCAGATTCCTCAATAATACATTGAACCATTGGATCAGATTTAGCTAAACGTTTTAAACCCTCAACCAATTTAGGCAAATCAGCTGGGTTTTTAGGTTCCACTGCAACACGCACCACAGGTGACACAGAAAATTTCATAACCTACGGCAAAAGAATTAACGAAGAAACTCATTTACCCTTGCTCCCTTATGAATACTCATTGACGAGGATTATTTTTAAATTTCTATGCTTATAAACTCACCTTCATATTATGAGCATCTTTGAACGTAGTAATAGTGCCAGTCTTAACCAGAAACTGGTCAACACCGACGAGACCGCATATATTTCCAGAAGGTACATCTTCGATAGCTTCAACATAACGACCCATCATCAAAATTGTACGTTGGATGGCCTTTTCATACAAATCCTCTTTTTTGCCGGGTACATAATTGGGGCCCATAATGCGACATTTCTGCCCAGTCGCCACTTTACCAGAGAACACACGCCCAAAGGCATAGAAACGACCCTTATCTGATGTGGGTACCATTTTGGAAATGTACATCATCAGCGGACCTTCAGGATCACAGTTTTTCACTGCAACGGCCGCCTCATCATCAAGCGGTCCCTCGTATAACATTTCCATACGGTATTTTTGAGCAACTACAGGAGACGGCAAATGTATAGCAATCATCTGAAGCAAAGCTTCGCCCGCAGGCAACCAAGTTCGCATAACAACTTTTAACAAAGCTTTACCATCTTTGTCTTTGTCTTCATGTTTTAAGGCTACACCAATTTTCTCTAATAAAGTTGGTATTTCTTCTTTTTTGTAATTCATGATTGCGTCGAATACCTTATAAATCGGATCCAAAATATACATGCAGAACGAACGTTTATTATCCGCTTCTTTTTGTTTTTGCCACTTTTTGGTCTTGGCATTGAAGAAATTTTCGCCCCACAAACTTTAAGAAATTAATTATGATATAGACATTAAAAAAATAAAATAAATAGATATTATAGATCAATTTTATCTATTTAAAATTTTCATATTATTTTCTATTCTCCGCTTAAATATAAATGTGTTATTGAATTCTCAGCATAAGTAGATTCGACATTAAGAAAGAGGTCACTGCTCAGCGTTGCAAAAACGATAACAAAGAATGCGACAAAAAAATCGCATTCAGTCTTCATCTGCTTTTATATGCACTTATTGTTCTATCATGAAGCGCAGCAAGCTCAAGACACAATGAGCCTTGACGCTCTGAGAACAACACAAATTGTGCTAAAAGCTTTTCCTTATGATCATGATATAAGAATACTCACCGATTCATTAATTTAACAACGTCAATCTTAAATTTCTCAGCATACATTTCCGCAAATTGTTTAAGAGTAAAAGCCCAGCCATGTAGACCGGAACCAAACCCAACTGACCCCTTCGAAGGATCAACACGCACTTCACCCATTGGACCGCCGTCGTCATTGTATGTGGCAATAATAACGTTAACATTTTCTACAATACGTTGGAAAGTTTGATACAATTCTTCGGCATCCAGCTGCAATTCTAACAAGGCACGGTCCATCTTATTCATAAACAATATGGGCTTAATACGTTCAGCAATGGCTTGACGCAACACAGTTTCTGTTTGAACACATACACCAGAGACACAATCGACCACAACCAAAGCACCGTCGGTTACACGCAAAGCAGCTGTTACTTCCGAAGAAAAATCAACGTGACCAGGTGAATCAATCAAATTGATTAAGAAACCTTTGCAGTCTTTTTCGCGTTGGTCGGCATTAGTAATGAATACCAAATCTTTGTCTTCGACTTCGAAATACATGGAAATTGCGCTGTAAACGATATTTTAAAAGTGAATATATGTATGTATGTATGTTACACAAGGCAATATTACTTACGTAGACTTAATTGTAATGCAACGTTCCTGTTCATCCTTGCGAGTGTCAGTAAAACGTGTTTCACCCGCTTTGGCTCCGGCTATAATACCAGCCTTGGAAACCTTAAAAACCATATATTAGTTTAGTGTAAATTCCCAAAGTTTGTACTCCTTAAACTTACCAAAGAATCGGTCAAAGTCGATTTTCCATGATCGACATGAGCAATGACAGACATGTTGCGGATATTCCGCTTTTTGTCCATCAATCCACGGATTTCATCAACGGTGAAGTTAACCTACGCATATCAAACGAAAAGAAACTCCATGTTAGATGGCTTTTGAAAATTGGAAAACCATAATTTTCTCGCTTTTTCTATCTACGTGCATTTATACATATATACTATAACTGATAATCAATGACCCATTTTCTTAAAGAGTTAGTCTCTAAAATCAAAATGCACACGTCATTATTTGTTGTAAGTCTCCTTGACATTATTACTTGTCAGTTGTGAAATTTTCTTATGAATTTTCAAGCAAATTTCATCTTCCCTTCTCAATAACAATTTCCACAATAACACAAAAATACTTATATTTTTCATAAATCCTGTTTATATATTTTTAACATTTTTAAAAATTATTCTTAAATTCCACCTACCATTTTGGATGATTAGCGATATTTTCTGGTCAACTTTATAAAACACTACACGCCTTCAATGGCACCCAAAAGGAAAAGAGCTAGTTGTCAAATTGACAGTTGTAATGTGGCGTTTATTGTTATAACTTTTTTTTTAATTTAAAACATGCAAATACAGGGATGGTAATAAAACCTTTGGTTATTGATTTGTTGAATAGCAAAAGAAGAAAAAGCATAAAACAAATCTGCAGTTACAAACTGACAGAACTGAATCACCTGATTGTTAAGCATATGTTTAAGCCAATTTCTATTATTATTTCATAGAGAATTCAAATACGTCTATGCAACTCTAAACTTTAGAACTGTAATTATACAACTGAAACACCTGATTCTTAAACATATATTTAAGCAGTTTTCTTTCATTATATGTTAATACGCGCATTCGAACCATTCAAAGTGAAAAATAATGTTTGTTATTTATTTCGGAAAAGAGTAAAAATTAAAACCTTTGTTCTTTTTCTTTTGAAATTTTTCTAATTATTTTATAATTTAGTGCTCAATGTCTCTTTTTTTAGTCTAAGAATTCAATTCATTAGTCTAAAATTAAAATAATAATAATAATAATATTTTATAACATTTTTATTAGTGTTATATTCTTATATTCTAACAGTACAATGGCGTACAAGAGAATGTATAGCGCATGCTCATTTTCGTAGCTTGAGCTGCGCTTTTTCCTGTTTAATCCACATAAAGAGAGATCAATTTTCTTGATATATTCTGAACGATACTTCTAGCCACATGGAACGACATACGATGATTGAACAACGTCCGGCGGAGAGTAAGTTTTTGGATATATATTTGTTTTTATATATAATTTTATTTTTAGTTAATTTATTTATATTTATTTAATTTAATTTACATTTAATGAATATACGTATTTTTATAATTTTTTCTTTTAGTATGCAGGGCAGTCGAACGTGCAGAACAATATTACCCTTAGCGTATTGAACACACAGCAGGAGCATCAGCCACAACAAATACATCAGCTACGTCAGCCAGATCTGTAAATACCTCAGGCTCCCCGTCAGCCACAACGACCACGGTGAGAACTATAGAAATCTGAAGAAAATAAAATATAAAAAAAAGCTACTAAGTTAAAGAATTAATTGACTGAATCGTTATTTTATTTATTTCGCGTTATTTTATTGTTGCTATTATTACTATTTGATTATACTAACCGATAATTAGTGATAATTTATAAACGCAACAACTCAAAACACTAATGTAATATCCTATTTTTATTTATATATACATAAAGAATTTGTTTTACTAATATTATTAATATAAATACTAATCACACTTTAACCACTCTTTGACTGGAAAACCAAAATTGAGCAACTTGGCTTTTTACTATGACGACGTTTGTAAGCGTTCAAAATGTCCGCGCAACACTTGCAGTTACGATGACCAGACATGTCATGTAATAAAAAATATATATGAAAAAGAAAGAAAAACTTGACAATTAAAAAATATTCAGTTTGAAAATTTTTTATTTTATTTGTAACCCAAATATATATATATATAAATAAAAAAATATATGCATGAATAAAATGTACTTAATGTTAATTTCTTACAATTTCCTTATATTTTTTCCAGTTCGTCTGTTATACAACTAATTTATAAATGTTAACTACCTAAAGAATATTTATACAATTTTATTTTTATAATTTTACTTTTTTATTAATAATTATTGCTATTTTTTTTTAGTAATTTTTAAATTTGTCAAACACACTTGCAAAATGCTTTGCTTTGATTTCTCTCTGAAATATTTAGCGTTTTTTTCTTTTACACTGTTTCCAAAATAAAACTCAACAATTTTTGCATAAATTATGATCAAAATACCATCTACAATATTACTGCTAACAACACTTACCATCTACAGTATTAATAGTCAGGATTATAGAAAAAAACGAACTATGGTGTAGTTGCCACTAGTACAGTGTGTAATTGCTGTTGTAAATTCTTAATTTGTTCCTTGATTGTTTTGAATTTATAGTTTATTCGTCTATTTTTTAAATTGCATATGAATTTTAAAGTAAAACAAAAAATAGACAAATAAAAATATACTAAATTTTTGTGTGCTAAAAATTTTAAATATGGTAGCGTCGTTTGTTTAAGAAGAAGAAGCATGTTATAGAGAAATAATTTCTCGTTGAAGAATTAGAGAAATTTGCAAAAAGTGAAAAGTGCATTGAAATTAGACAAAAAATAAAATTAAAAACAAAAGTGGTAAAATGGAGTCAGACGATGTTAGTAGTAAGAGAGGGCGTGGCCGCGGACGGGGTGCTAGAGCTCGTGGCAGAGGACGTGGTAGAGGTCGCGGCCGCGGGAAAAAAGATGCTGTAGTAGTTTCATGCAGTGAAGAAGTTTCTGTTGATCAAACATTTGATGGAAATTCTGTAGTGATATTAGAAGACGGTGATGTTTCGGCAGGCAGTGGTAATCTCAACCTTGACACCAATGAGGACGTGATTATGGTAGATTTGGCGAAAGAGTGTGAAGGAGATCAAAGCAGCGTAGCTGGCAAAGAAGCAATCTGTAGTAATTCCGTAGTTGGACAAATTAGTGCATCGACATCGACGCCCACTACAACGAATATTTTGCCTCAAACAAGTAACGAATTGAAATCTTTAACTGTATTCATAAAATTTATTAAACTTTGGATTTTACAGTTGATATGGAAGCTGACATATCACAACTGGAAGCTCCAACATTCACTACTATATC